CGTTTTTTCCCCTCTCAGTGTGCCTGCCCTGCCTCCCTAACTTTGGCGACACAAGCTCCTCCCTGTTAGGAGCTGCAGGCCGAGCCGGGCCCCCTTCCCCGCTGGGTGCCGGGGGAGGGCGGTGGGAGGGCAGCCTCTCCTCGGCTGGAGTCTGTATCCCCAGCCGGTAGCACAAGTAACTTGTTCTCTTCCTTGCTCTGCCTCTTGGTGCTGGGAAGTCAGTTTGTGCCTGGGCCCCATTCGTCCTCCCTCTCTGGCCCTGGGTAAAAGGGTAATGTCTGTAAGTGCCTCGGTTTCCTTCTGTTTTCTGTCAGGCTTTATAGTGTGGTTCTTTGCAAGAAACGCTTCTTTCTAATTAAGTATTAAGGAAGATACAGCATTACAAATTACTCAGCTGGTGTAGGGTAAAGAGGTAACTTTTCCAAGAGAAATACCTCCTGCTCAACCCAAGCCCTTTTATGTGACCTCCATGGCTGCACAGTCACAGGTGTTTATGTACCTTTTTCCAAGTCACACAAACCCCATCAGTTTGAAGACTGCTTCCTTCCTTTGTGCTCCTTTCCTCCCTTGCTGTGAACACCTATTCTCCCAGGCCTGAGACAAGGAAAGAAAAGGAGATCGGTTACATTTACAAGCCAGTTAAAGTGAAGGACTTCGTGTCTTTGAAGCTGAAGGGAGTGAACTTTTCTCTCCCAGGAGCATTTTCACAGTGCAGCTCCCAAGCTCTGAACAAAAAGCAGCTTATCTACAAGAAAGATAGGCCTTTTTCCTATGCATAACTGTCAAAACTGTGATTAGCACACCTCCCTTGTCACACATGAGAAAAAGCTGCTGATAAGACATGTCATGTTGAAAAAGAAATGAGTTTACCTCTCAAATCCTTTTTACATACAGTTGTTACAGATAATACCTGACGTTATTTACACTACAGAGACTTGAGCTTTTTTTTCTGTTTTCCTTTTTCATTTCTTCCGTGACCTTGTTCCTCCTGGACAGCTGGTGAATGCTAGTTTCTCGTGGTCATTCTTGTTCTTGTCTTTCACACAGCAGTAGCAAGGAAAAAGTGTTTCTCTTAACTGACACAGGCAGCCTGCCGGTTTCTGGCTTCCAGCAGGAATTTTGTTTGTTTCAGACAGAGGAACAGATGACAGGGTGGTAAGTAAACAAGACTGAGAGAGGCATGCTTATTTGATTTTTGTTTCCCTGGATAACTGAAATGGATCGTTGTGCAACGCCAAAATCCTCAGCTTTTTCTCCCACGATTGTGCTACTATAAGAGCTTTTATAATTCCTTGCTACATTTTCTCTGTCTGCTACTTTTCTGCCTCTATCTTGAATGCTTAGTATAAACCAAATAAATACAATATCCATGCATTTGTTATCAGACATCTTGAATCACTTGATTCAGCTGCTGCCAAGCATATGGTTAATTTCTTGAGTGTGTTTTTTTTCCACAATTTCCAGCTCTCAGTACTATTAAGAAATGATTAGTCATTTAACCTGAGTGAAAAACCACTGGCTACCGTAGTTAAATGATTGGCCTGACTTGTGCCATGAAAAAGCACTTAAAATGTACTTCTGAGAGAACAAGTATTTAAGGACATACTTTGGCATAGTACCAAAATTAGTTTGTCACTTCTTTTGTAAGACTAACAAGAGGTCAGGCTGGATTTTTTCAGTCAATTTTTCCAGCAGTCAACTTCTGTATGTTCTCAGTCCTGCCTGTATAGTAAAAAATCAGAAATTGCTTTTCTTTTGAAATCTTTTTTTTTTTTTTTGAAAACTTGAGTATTTGACAAGTTTTGTTCAATGGATCTATCCTATCTTGAAACCAACATAGGGCATTCTCTATTGTTTCCATTTTGAGGTTTTCATCAGGACTTCTACACTTCACTTTGTGTGACCATTAAACTTGAAAGATGTTCTTCCATGCCTGTTAAACAAATACCCGTGAGTCACATGAATATGTGTATAATGTTTCAGTGGGTCTGTGGGCCTCTCACAGGTGTTACAAGGAATTTTGGAAAACTATGGGATATTTGTTCCCTTGTTGTCAACTTGAGGGTTCATGGTTCTGTTTTGGCACAAGGGATGGGAAAATTGTTCTTTTGATTTGCCAAGCCTGTTTAATTCAGCACAAACCACTTCAATGATTTTCTGGATATCCTGTTTGAAACTCATGGTTTGAAGATGGCAATCAGATTAAGATTATAATTTGATAACAACTGGAGGGTTTTTGGGGGGGAAGAATCAATAAACAGAAAATCCTAGACCTTGGCACAGCTGTTTAAATTCCCCCTAACTAATGGGAGAAGGGCCCCAGGTGTGGCTCTGGTAAGAAGCTGCGAAGCTCCCTGCTCCAAAACTGGCCAGGGAGCCATTAGAGAGACAATAGATGCGCCTCAGTGATTAACATACGAAATGACTGATGTAACGAACCTGAGCAGAGTGAGCAGCTAAGAAAGAAGAGCTGAGCTGGAGAGGTGAAAGGCAGTGCTGGGGTGAAGATCCCGGGGGCTGGTGAGAAAGAAGGGGAGGAAGGTGCCCAAGCAGTTTCCCTGCAACCTGTAGCGAAATGGCAGGCTGCCCGTGCATCCGTGGGGGAACGTGGTGGAACATCCCCTGCAGGCGCCAGGAGGGGTGAACTTGGCCAGTGGGTTTGCTGCCAGTGGACTCTGATTATGCAGCTGTGCAAGATCCCGGCGCCAGAGGAGGTGACTGTTCCCTGAGCAGCTCGTGACTCTGTGGGAAGCCCAGGCTGGAGCAACTCCGGACCTCGTGGGAAGGACTCAGGAAGGAGAGGTTCCTGGAGGACCCTCTCCCATGAGAGGGACCCTGCTGTGAAGCAGGGAAGGACTGTAAGGAATCCTCCTTCCTGAGGAAGAAGAAGAGGCAAGAACCACCTGTGAACTGACTCTAAACCCCATCCCCTGACCCCCTGAGCCGCTGGGGGGAAGGAGGGAGAGAAACCGGGAACAAAGTGATTTGGGCCCGGGAAGAGGGGGAGGGTGGGGATGACGTGTGTAAGCCCCGCTCTTTGTCTTATCTGTGTCCTGTGTGCATCTGGTTAGTGTGTGAAATGACTGTTTTCCCTAAGTTGAGTCAGTTTTGCCCGTTGGCCTTTGTTCCTCCCGGCCCCACCGCGTGAGGGGCTGCGCGAGCAGCCACGCGGCTCTGCGGCCGCGTTAGGCCCAACTGACGCGGCCTTAATTTGCTCCCAGTTCAGGCGTGTCTGTTCTAGTTTGCGCTTGGCGAGTCTGGTTTAGATACAATGTATCTGAGTGTTACATAGTTATAAGCAAATCAGGCAAGATCCTTCGAGGAGAGATACCCTTGTAGTTTCTTGCGTGAAATTGTGTTTCCAGAGTGACTTGCAGAGCTAAACCCCAGTGTCACTTTCCCAGCTGTTCTGTGGAAGGAAACCCAGCACCTGCTGCCTTGCATTGTAGGCTACACATGGCATGCTCTGCTTCTGTTAATAGAATTAATATGCCAAAACAATACTGTGAATTAAAATGTGTCTTAATTACCCCGCACTGAATATAAAATATAAGTGGAGTTTAATTATTAGAGAGGTCTTTTCTAGGCTCATTTAGAACGAAATGAAGACTATACAAATAACTTGAAAAGCAGATAAAGTATTAACATTAGGCAGGGATAAAACACTCCTTAAAAATTCACACGAAGTACTTAATTTCTTTCTCTTGTTATGGTCACTATGCTTTTAAATATTTTTGGATTAAAAATCCCCTGTCCTAATTCAGCATCTGACTTATACACACATTCATCCTGCTTAAATACTTTGACTCAGCAGAAGAATTATGTTGAGCAAATGTATTCAGTAACTAGTAAATGAGAGAATAATTTGTTGTAGATTGTGAAAGTGTAGATTGTATAGTTACATGTCGTGAAACCTCAAAACCCTGGGTTTGTCTGCATAGATCCAGTAGTAAAATTATTTTTAGCAGTTTAAGAATATTTTTTCCTTTGTTTAGTTAGTGTCATGTGATGTTAATGGAAGAAGCTCTTGACACTTCAGATGGTGACAAAAAAGAACAGGCAGCTTAATGCTACCAAACTAGGGTGTGTCAAATCTCTCTCAAGAATGATAAAGTCAATGGAGTTGTCTATTTTTAACCTCCTATTCTCTCTCCTTGGCAGACTAATCAGTGTTAGCTGAGCTGTTTCACTGAATGAATCCAAGCAACTTTTTTGCTTTCGGAAATGAACAGCAGACCTTGCAACAGTGTCTCAAGTTTGATTTAATGCATGAAGTCCCGTTTTGAAACACCATGTCGAATGAAGCCAGTTCGGAGCAGAACCTTTCTACCACAACAATCAGTTCAGTTGCTGTTCAGGCTGGAGATGCCAGTATTGTTATAGCTGTGCTTAAGGTAAGGCAGCAACTGCTGGCACGTCTGTTCTTGCCTTTCTGCTACTCGGGTACTTCTTTTAAATGCTCTGTGCAAATGAGCAGTTAGTATAACACGATAAGACAAGGTCATTTAATCAGTTAATATCAAATAGAGCTTCTCTGGAAGTTGACTGTTTTCTTCTGTTCACAACTTCTGCTTGTGATATGTTCTTTGTTCTTTGCAGAGTGCCATGAGAATCTGTTAATAAGCATATTAGTCATAGTTGAGACTCCTCAAGAGTTATTTTTAAAGTACACACAGCAATAATTTTACATAATGGGTAGTCTACCAATTCCATAAATGCTGATAGATTATCTTTTTGAAGAATTTGCTGGGGGGGAAACCTAAACCTGATGATGAGTGGTAATTTTTGAAAGTTGTGGATTCAAATTCCCATGTATTTTAGTAGAAGCCCTTGCACGGATATGTTAGTGTTTATAGGCACCCAAATGCCTGTTCTGTGAGCTGGAATCTGCACCTGCAGCTTGCACAAAACTTGGCGTGTGGAGTAAAGCTGGATGCCTAGGTACTGAATCCCAGTTGGAATTTCTTGGCAGTTTGATTCTTTTTTTCTCCGAGCAGCTTGGAAAGCATGCTAGCCTCAGCCACTGGAGTTTCTGTAATACAGAATAAAGTGATAATGAGATGGGCTGTCACAGAATTAGGGTGATAATTCAGGATGGGGTTACCTCAGTTGTGCCGATGGCAAGTTTCTCTCTACCAGTTCTTACCCTTCCTGGGAGACTGTGCTGCAGCAGTGGAATAATTTTGTTGCAAGGAGGCTTAAGTTTAGAGTGAAGATGTTTCTTTTTCCTGTGTGCTGTGGGAAACAGCTTGTCACCTCTGGTAACATCACTGCTTTTGTTCCTTACCACCATCCTCACTGAGTTATGCTTCTCAGACTGCAGCAGTTCTGCAACACAAGAAAAGAATGAGCTGTGCTTTGAGTTGCTGTCAAGCTTCCATTTTTTGTTTATCCTCCAGGACACAATGGGAGATTGCTGTTTGGGTTCCTGTTCCGAAGTGTGCCTGCTGATAACTGTGCAATCTCCCTGTATTTATATTCAGTATACATATATATTGGATATGTGTGATAGAAATAAAACTTGGCCTTCTGGTTTTTGCATCTGCTGTAATATATTTGTGCCTTCTGCCCACCAACCCACCCACCATGTTTCCTCAACTATCTGTGCAATCTTCAGCTGGGATATGAGGTGGAGAGACCTTTTTTGGCTCTTCGTGATCATCTTACTGTTCACAGGCAAAACCAAAATTGCAGTGGCTATTTGATAAAACTAGAGTCTGGGATTTTGATTTTGCCTTCAAATTAAGTGAAGTTAAAAACAATAACAGATAGAATAAGAATTAATATTAATATTGTCATAATCACAATTATTATTATTATCATCATAAATAACATTATTATTATTTCGATTCTGCAGTTTAATACAAGTTTACATATCCCCATGCTCCTTGGAATGTATGTGTACCATGTGTGCGTGAGTAAATCAATTAAGGAAATCTGGTGTTATCTGAAGGCTCAGAATTGCTGTAAATGTTTACTTACTACAGTGTGGAAAATGGGTGAAGCTTCAGCTGGCTGAATCAACACCAAATTTGTTAGAAATCGGCAGCAACCAAGATGAGACTAAAAAACTACTGCAAGATCATGAATTCCTCCTAGCTAAACTGAAGGTAAGGTGTGGTAAGACTGCACAAAATACATCTAGTGGTACAACAGCTGGCGTAGCTGCTTAGGCCTCATGTTGTAATGTGGTTGTTTGGTTAAAACTTCACATGGAAAAAATATGTACAGCCTTTGTTCATGTAACAGATCAAAGTTAAGCCTCTGCACTGGAAGAATAAATATACTGTTTTGTTGTTTTCTGACAGCAGCAGTAAATACGCACTTTTTTGCCCCTATATACTTCACTGTCAAGTGAAAAATTCTGGTAGTCCTCGGTAACTGCTAAATATAATGTATTTTTCTTTTTATTTTTTCTCCAATGTTACGAGAAGTTTGATTACATAGTAAGACCTGTAAACGCAAGCAAGCTCTTTGTAACTGTGAAGCAGATATTCCAAAACACAAGCAAGCTCTTTGTAAGTTTGAAGCAGATATTCCAGGCACATTTTAATGGAATATTAGTTGGTGTACATTACGGTGAGAATGATATTTTAACATTAAATATATCTTGTCTTGAGCTAGAAAGATTTTAGCTAGATTACAGATCTAAAATCAGGTTGTTTTATTCTGGAGAGCAGATTCTAACAGTGCCATTTGGACACAGTGAGATGCTTGCATGAATAATCTGGAATTATTTTAAATGTTGATGTTTCATACTAAAAAGACTCTAAAGGTATCTAAGAAGAAAATTTGGTTTTGTGTTTTGAGAGGGCAGATTGACTTTTCCCCTGTAGACAAATAAATTCCTCTAAAATCCTGAAGGTGTGCTCAGTGACTTAATGGATTCCATCTATTTTTTTGAGATTATGTAAAATTCACATCTGAAAGAGCAAATACGATCTGAATAGGCTCAAGTGCACTAGTGACTATGTGCTTCCTCAGTCATTATAAATCTTAGACATATGTAAATTAATTTAATGCAGTATAGAAATAATGTAATCTAATATGGTGCATAGTGTGGATTTTTAATAATACAAAGAACAGCTTTACCAAAAACCACCAAAACCAAAGCAATACACAAAACTCTAGAGAGGGTGGTTCTGCTACCAAGGACAGTAAGACAATGAAGTCCTCTCTATAGACTCCAGCTTCAAATGATTGTATTAAAACATAAAAAATAATAAAAATAGCTGGGATGGATGCAATCTCTAGATGCATTCCCAAGCTGCTATTCAATTTCTGTTTTAAAATCCTTTCACTGAAATAAAGTTTAGGATATTATTCTTTTAATTTCAACATTATTTAAACGGTGAAAAAATGAAATAATCAAAAGCATTTCATGCTCTCTGATGCTCATTCAGATCTTTCTATTGTTATTAGTCTAGGTGCATGGAACTTTTTAAGTTTGGTTTTTTTTATTTAGCAGTATTTACCTTGGTTTCATAATTAAATAATACCAAATATTTTAGTTAATATCTCTCTCTGAAGCCTTGTGACTGGTAGCTTGAACATAGTTGAATGATCCTTATTTGGATCCCCAAAGCTGAAGATATTGTATTAGAATAGAGAATATTTTTCTGTGTCCTGTAAAAAAGCAGGTCTCTAAGCATTTCATGTTATGTCACCATATGTAGTTAGAAAATACTGATTAATTTGATGAAATTGGACACAGAACAGAACAATGTGATATAGAAAATTAGTAATAATTTCCTCTCTTATGTGTTTGCAAAGCTAGTAAAATTTTCCTCAACTGTGTCTTCATGGGAACAAAACCATTTTATCCTGTGCTTTTATTTGGGGTACCGTTTTAAAATCATCTTGCAAGCAGTTTGGCTGTGTTTTCAAAATAGATTTTCAAAATCAATGTCTAGGTCTGTTTTGAAGGAATGTAATTGTCATGTCTTACCTTTATGTTGTCTGTGAAATGTAATGAATGGTAACAAGAAAAGCCAGCATAGAAATAAATTGGAAGACTAATATATATCTATTGACTGTATAGGCTATTTGAAGAGCAGAATATTATAGTGAGGTGTCCTCATTTACCTCTTGGCAAATGCTTTGAACAAAGAAATTGTTCCTGAGTATTCCTTGTGCAAAAGCTTAGAAACCACTTTAGAAGAATAATTAGTACGATGTGACTGGAATAGCATGAGTCCAACTACCAATTTTTGCACAATAGAAATGTGCCTACATTATTAATGCAAGTTTGCCTTCGATGTGCTTGATCTGTTTTTATTGTGAAAATCCCACATGTCTGAAGTTAACCAAGTGAAAAGTGGAAAATGAAGAATGGGTCCTGAAAAGATGGGTATAGTGCCCTTTCAGATAAAGTAACTTTCTACTTATTAGCATTGTATTGACCAGCTGGAGACTTTAAGGCCTTTCCTAGTTCCTTGATAAATATCAGGGAAAATAAACCCTTACTTTTTGTCCTTTTTTATCTGAAAACCGTGGCTACTACCATACTAAATCTCCACGGTTTTTTTCTAGACACTGCTTAGCCTTATGTGAGCTTCTAATTTTCAGCAGAATGATTTTGATAAAAATTTAGGATTTTGATGTAATTTTTTGCAGGTGTCTCATAAATTCTTTCTCCAATTAAAGCCAATATTCCTTACAGGATTGTTTCTGCAATAAAACAACATAGTCTCCTTTTGCTGAACTGCTCTGATGTCTGAAAGAAGTGTCACAATTAGGAAACACAGCAAATAAAGGAAAGTGGACATAATGAATGGAGTAATGATAGCAGAATTTTCCATGTTTTTACTTTTTAGTTTTGGCATTCTCTTTTTCAAATTAAATGAAGCTGGTCTGCTAAAAGCAAATGCTTGGGATAGAGAACTTTGAAAATCACTTTACTTAAAAAATATTGGTAAAACATTTTCAGCTATATCTAGTGAGCACTCTGAAGGTTGTCTACTTTAACCTCATCAGAGGATGAAGTCACATTCTTGTGTGTTTTATTCATTCATCTTCTGTAATGATATTTCTTCTACATGTTTGTCCTTAAAGCTTCCACAAGGCTTTCACAAGGTTCTAGGAAAAAAACCAAACTTACTTAGATCTGACCAGAATTCCTCCAACACAAGTAGCACTGGACAGTTAGTACTTGAAGTTTAGTGCTTTTTTGTGGTTGAACAAAACGACAAGACTTTGTTTGCTCTGAAGAGATTGTATATATATTTAGGAAATTCTAGTATTACATGGACAAGAATACTTTTTATAGTTTTGACAGTGTAAAAATAATATGAGAAATTATGCTAGCCAATTAAAAAAGCCTCTCAAAAAAAAAAAAGTAAAAATAAATTGAGGAGACTGTGCTAAAGATTGCTGTGAAAGATGGATTTTAATTTAAAATTTTCATTAACTCTGTTCATAAACATGCCTGTATTGTTTTTATGAAGCTGGGCTTTAGATTTTATTAATCACACAATCATATAATCTGTGTTTTAAAAATTATAATGAGTCAGTGCTGCTCTATTTTTTTATTTCTAATAATGATTCTGCTGCATGTAAGATTAGAAAAACATTTGCAGCTACCCTTAGATACCTTGTCAGCTAGAATTATTATTGAATAAAATTTTAATCGAGTACTTTGGATTATATTCCCAAGGCCAGCTCTTTTTTCCTGATCTGATTCTTGTCTCATTGTGGTATAAAGAGGATAAAAACCAGTTGATATCAACAGTTCTATCAGTGTCAGTATCTACTCCATGCAAATTACCTAATTTAAAGTTGAAACAATGTTTTAAATATATGTTAATTAGATTCCAGTTAAATACAGAATAGGTAGCAATTGGGGGATTTTAGCTTTTTTTTTCATATTATGTGACAATCAGGATGGAGGATTCAACAGAACAAAAAAATAATTGGTTTTACAAAAGGATTAGAAAGCAGCAGTTTCCATTCCTGGTATTCAGAAAACGAAACAGAGTGTATATTGTTCTCTAGAAGACTGGCTTTGGATCTGATCCTCTTTTTGATGGGTTTTGATGGGTTTTCCACCAAACAATAAGCCTTCATTCATGTTACTCATAATGACTTTTCTATACACTGTAGAAAAAGGTGGATTAGTTGGAGCTGCTCTTATCCTGTTAATTTTACCACTGTTTGTTTTCATAGTTTCGTAGTCTACAAAGATAAGTTAAAATTTAATTATATTTTTTTCAGAGAAAGAATAAAAGTTTCATAGTTTATTATACTGTTCTCACAGTACTGTTTTTAGAAAGAACTGGTCAGCCTCTTCAGTTCAAGCTAACATTTTTGTGTAGTACACAATGTCTAGGGAGGGCTGGAGGTTGTGGTTCTATATTTAGAATAATAAATTTTTCTGCAATATCTTCTTTTCAGTTGGATCTTTCAGGAGAATTTCAATGAAAAAAAAATTCTTTAGCTTTTATTAGAGTCTGTGTCATGAGAATGAGTTACCAGATTTTATTTTGCCTAATACAGACTTTTCCCATTACACAGTCAAGTGATAGTATCTGCAATAATAACACAAACTGATATTTTATTAATTCATGCTCATAATATAACCTGAGATGGGAAGAGAGGGAAAGAAAATAGAACAATTGCTAATAATTTTTTCTGACACACTGAAGATTTTTAACATAAGCTGGAGATGGACCAGCAGTTACCTCTCTCATGTTGAGATTAGTAAAAGGAATGAGACACAGCAGACTTATTTTCTTGACAATAGAGTACTATTATTTGATGGGCAGTTTGAGCAATGCAGCAAACAGAACTTGAAACGTTGCATAACTCTGGTGTTTTTCTGGAGAATATGTGCATGTGTTCAAACTACTCTGGTCTGGATTGTGTTGAAGTTACCTGAGCCCTATCAGTTAGTTACCATACACTCTTAGAATTTGTAATATCAGTTAATGTAATACAATGGCATATAAAAAAAGATCCAAAATATCTGCATTGCTACCCTTTCCAGGAAGATCTGTGTTTAAGGGGATGTAAACCTATTTTAATCTAAATGCTGGAGATAGAATGATAAATTCTTGTTTTTAAATGCAGCACATGTTTTTAAAAACAACTTCATTTGAAACCACTTATTTTTAAATGAAATTTCATTAAAACACTGCCTCTTAAGTGCAGTTGAAATTCAGAAGCTTCCTATGATACATGTGATAACAGCTACATTTCTGTCACTAGGAACTGGATATAAAACATATAGGAGACTTCTGGGTAGTTAATCAGATCCACTTAAAATATTCTGACAGTATCAGCACAGTGTTTAGGAATCTATTTACAGATTTTTTTTATTTACCCCCCCCCCCTCTCTTCAGGCTTTGGAAGAAAAGGTGTGGGACCTGCTGCATGAAGCAGACAAAGCTGCAGAGGAGAACAAAGAAAAGAGTCAGGTTTATGATGCCATGGCAGACACCCTTGGGGATGCATGGGATGCCCTCATCATTATGTTAGAGAAGCGACAGGCACTTCTGGAACTTACTTCAGTGTTCTTTGAAAATGCTCTGAAGGTTTGTATTTAAATCAAATTACTTTTAATTTTAAGCCTCCCATATCTTACAGGTGTTCTGTCCACTGTAATTTTACTCTGTTACATAATAATTATAATTATGCAAGCTAAATGTTAGTCTAACTTACCCATACTTTACTTGAGACTTCCATGTGCAGATGTGCACAAAAGGAAAATCATGTGAGCCCAGAAACAGATTTCAGAGTGTTGTCTTTCCCTCTTTGTCTCTTACCCAATTCACTGATACACAGGGAGCTAAAGCAGAGAGGGATTCCATGCTTACTCTGTGTAGCCTCATATTCTGTTCTCCTCACATTCTTGGAACTTTGAAGAGTTTAATAATTCTTCCTGATAATTTTGTTTCTACAGTAGCCAAGTGCCACCTACAAATTACAGAAGCAACTACTGCTAGTCCTAACAACCCCAAGATCAACAATCCACTAATTATTTTGTCCTGAGGATGAGTATTATACAAAGAAATCAGTACAGTGTTTGCCTAAGTGTCACTATGATAAATTCTGTACTACCAGAGTTTGGTCTGGGGCAGACTAAATCCATGAGCTAGCTGAATTGATTCTGCAACAGGCTTATATCATTAAAACAAACTGCAGCAGTAGGAAAACATCACATTCTATAAAGGTGGAAGAAATGCAAGATCAATTTAGATAGGAATGGCAGAAACATCTTATGGAAAGGATTTTCTTCAAATGATGATCTGTGATTGTGCAAATATTTGTTTTATTGTGCTAAAACACAAAACATATCTCAGGAATAGTCTTTTGTGAAAATCGGAACCCAAATCTCAAATGTTAGTACCTAACAGATTTCTTTCATAGCATGCAGATCAAGAGGGAGAAAAAATGTGGAACTGTAGAAAACAGAAAAAGCAGAGTGCTTGCTTTTTATTTTTCTTAATTTCACCACAGGTTGCACCATCTTTGCTAATACTGAAACAAAACTTTGAACTCCACTTGTTTTCTCACTCTTAAATTGAAGTAGTAGAATTGTTAAAGATTGGCTAAACTATAGAATGTGTGTCTCAACTCTCTGTGCTACATGTTCTTGGAATTGCATCTGTACAGGTAGAAGCCAAACAAAGAATTCCTATCTTAGTTTTAACAATCTCAACAGATTACAAAATCTGCTCCATATCTTCCTGAAACACAGCATGTTTCAATATTTTAAATATGGAATCCATGGAAAAATTATCTGTAAAGGAGTAGCTTAACTTCAGTCTTCATTACAGAGATTATATTTCCCTACTATAATTAATTAATGTGTTTACTGTAATACTCAGTTTAAATTTGCTGCTAATTTCTGCATTCAAAAGATTGCTTTGAGGATTGTATCTGTCTGATGTTGCTCTTAATTTTTCTTTCAATACTTTAGAATTAGGGATTTTGGGAAGGAAACCTAAGTTAAAGGCTTAATTCTTGATAAATAGTTTTATTGAAGGCTTTGAAATTAACAAATTCTTCCATTAAAAATTTTCAGTGGTTTGAAGGCTGTGTAGGAAAGATGATTCATAAAAGTGACTGTGATTACAGAGTATGTCTATGGAAATTTGGGTTCCCTCAGTCAATAAGAACCTCAAAAAAGCCCAAAAGGTGTAGGGGCCACAAAGCATCTGTATTTAGCTGTTTGTAAATATGCATTTTTCCAAGAATTCTCGTGAACTTTCCCTGTAATACAGACATTTTGATAAGAGTTCTACAAAAGAAAATTATACCATGCTTGCTCCCGCTCCTTGTGTTCTTAATGCAGTTTGCTGTTAAAATTGACCAAGTTGAAGATTTCCTGAAAAACGCTCAAGAGTTCGATAATATTGACTGTCTGAGAGAACTTCTTTTGCAACAAGAGCATCATACAAAAGGTACAAACAGTGTTTCACTCCAAATGATGTGTGACTGTGCATTGAGTCCTTGACGGATGCCAGTGTGTATAAAAAAAATAAATAATAAAATCTTAGAATATGTAACGTTCTATTTGGAAAATACATAGGTGAAAGAACTCTTTAACAGGCCTCCTGAAAGATATCAAAATCCTGGTTTTGAGCTAGCTCCCTCCTTGTTCCTTCTTTGTTGCTGCAGAGCAGCTAGTGGTAAGCTTGTGTTCTGATTCCAAGGCAGTGCAGCTGACTTTTAGTGCTGATTGGCAAGTGAGTTCTAAACCCAACCTTATGCTCCATGGGAAAAATCATCAAAGTTATCATAGCTGTCAATGAATTAGCATTTTCTGATGCAAAACTTTCCAGTAGAAGATTTCCAATCAGCTCTAGTAACAATCCCCTGCAAAGTCCTACATTTTCTTGAGAATGGCTATGGGAGAAGTCTTTCTGCTTTCCTTTTTCTAGGTCAGGGGTTTGAAGCAGAAATGGTGAAGTGAGGGTGGGAGCTAGGAGATAGAGCTGGAAACTAGCCAGCTTCAGAATCTATTTGCCTACAGTGATGCCCTGCGTTTTACTTCTGCCTTTGAGGGGTGGGGATGTAACATTCTTGGGAAAAAGGTGCTCTCTCCCCTTCCCCCACAATTTTCCTACACATGTTTGCCTAGAATAATTCTTCCATGTGACTTCCTTTTTGTTAATTAACATTTTGACGTGAAGCATCTTCGACCACGTTGCAATACTCTTTTCAAAACCAATCTCATTGTGTGTCTACTTTAGACACCTTTGCAATTCCATATGGTTCTATATTTTTATAAGACTTACTACCCCATCTTTGTAATTTTAACCAAATTTTGCTACAAGATTACTAAGAACTGGTAGAATATGAATTGTGCTTTATTATTCATTAGGGGAGTACCAGCATAAACATTTTTAGCTACCTTCAATGCCAGGAGACTGAATAGGACTTGGGTAACTAATATAGGTTTTGGGGCTTTACAGTTTGATCTTCATGGGAGCAAAGTTCTCATTGTATAGCAGTTTTAACCTGAAGTATCTGGCAGTAATGTATTGCTGAAAAGAGGGTCTATAACTGCTAAGAATCAGTTGAAATTATTTCCCAGAGAAAGGCTGCTTTGATGGGGATAAGCCTCTCCTCAGATGGAGGGAAGTGGTTACAGTTGGTTTGCTTCTTAATCTGTCTTTAACCACATAAAATTTGGAAAACTTATATTGAGCTATTGGTAAAAAACAATGTTTATATTGCTTTCTTTGAGAAGGATACTGTCTACCCACTCCAAAGTGAAGTGACTGAAGAGATGATCTTTACAAAGTGTTGGCTCTACCAGTACGTTAAGAGTGGTTTATCACAAAAAAAAAAAAAAGGCATTTCAGTCTGGAATAAAATAGGTAAAAATATAGTAGTCATCCTCCTTTATCCATTTTTATATGTATTCCATTTTGGATGGACTGAAATTCATAGAATCATTTTGGTTGGAAAAGACCTTTAAGATCAAGTCCAACCATTAACCTAGCACACTGCCAAGTCCACCACAAAAACATGTCCCTAAGTGCCTTTTCAATACACGTTTTAAATACCTGCAAGGATCGTGACTTAACCACATCCCTGGGCAGCCTGTTCAAATGCTTGATAACCCTTTAAGTTAAGAAATTTTTCTGAAATTGAACATTTCTTATTACCCCCTTTATGGAAGGCAAGAAATTAAATGGAGAGGTTTGTTACTGCGAGCTCATGGAAACTAGACTCTCTTGTTACCCCTTGGAGGCACTTCTGCATCTTCCCTCTGTGTTCCATATGAAAGGTGGAGATTAAGTTTAAGAGATTAAGATTGAGTTACCAGTACATGTACTCAGCTGGGAATATGAATGTTTCAGCTGTTTGCTGCCTGTCATTAATTGCTTCGCTAGCAGCTCCTTGCAAACATTCCTTTCTTGCACTTTTATTCAGGCCTACTTCACCTGTTATTCTGGCTTGGCTCCCCTTCCTTCCTCATTACGTACCTAAAAATTTTCCCTTTTCATTTGAAAGACCTGTGAATACTGATCATTGTTACATTTTGAACTGTGTGTGTTCCAGAAGCTGAATCAAAGACAGACACATGACTAGTACGTCACTAAAGTGTAGTAGTCCACTGAATGTTAACCCTGCGTGTATCTAGATAGAGTTTGTGAAGAGAAAGGAAGAATTTCTGATATTTATGGGTTATTTAGTAATGAGATTGTAACAGCTCCTTACAGATAGTAGAACTTTTCAGCATCTGTAAGGGACATAAAGACATAAACTGATCTTGCATAACTAATGAAAAACCACAGAAGCTACTGACCCACACAGAAAACAGGGTAGGAAACTCCAGCTTACCTGAAGACTCTGAAACCATCAAGAAAGGCTCAGTTTTGAGAAAACACTTGTAATTTCTGAATTTTGTCTCAATGGCTCTCAGTACACCATTTTATGTCTCTATATATATGCTGTTATAGGTACATATATTTACGTGTATGCACTGTTACACCTTTTTATATAATAGCTGTGCAAACTGAAATATCTGAGGATATATACCTTCTAAAGGTAAGCATTTATAATCTGTTTATGCAATGTATGAAAACTCACTAAGCTCATGTATGCAAATAGGTAGTTTTAAAAAATACTTGAGTAATATTTGAAATCTGCTACTAGAATTATAAATATCTTTGGGTTTTTTCCTATGGAATTATATTCTTGCAGAGCTTTTGGAAAAGTCACTTGCACTTTTAAACAAAAGCCAAGAGCTGACTGAATTCATAGAAGAGTTCAAATGTGAGGGGCCAAATGTAAATCCAGAGCTGATCCAGGGAGCCCACAGCAGCTGCTTGAAAATTGACAATCTCCTTGAAATGCTACAAGACAGAAGACGGCAACTGGACAGGTTTCTTAAACATCAGCGCCAAGGACTGGAACAGGTCCTGCAAATTTGTTTGTGGCATCAACAAGAGAATCAGGTAAGACATAGAATGTTAAAAAATACCTAGCAACTGATTTATAGTAGAGACTATTACAGAAATGGAGCTCAAATGTATTTATTAGGCTAATAATCCTGGGCCACTTCTATTTGATGAGAGCCTTAATTTTGAGTATTTGACTTTGTAACTAGAACATCTTCAAAATTTATTTAAATATAACTTTAATATCTTCAAAAGCACTATTTCCACTATGCGAATCCCTCCTGTAAGTTACTAAATGTGGTGCTTCAAACCAAACTATATTCCTTTTAAACTAAATTCCCAGCACAAACAAAGCTCTAGCCACAAGAGCAGTATCAGTAATTGCAACTGCAGAAGGCTGTTTCTGGACTAATCAATTAAAGAGAAGATAAAGCATTATTAGCCTGTCTGCATGTCTGAAAGCAGAAAAGTACTTTGTTTTGGAGTCAAATCAAAGTTCATTAGGGTACTGTAGTTATTGCAGTTTTTTTTCACATCTGCAACCCACTTCTCTCTCCTCTCTCCCAGTTCAGCTTCCATCTCTTACTAAGTTTCTCAAATACAATTTGTTTTTGTACCCTCTTTTCAGAGCTTAGGTACGCTTAAGTCTATTTATCTTCCTCTTTCCAGTTCTACCACTCCTTTTCCTTTTCATTCCTCATCTCCCAGCATTCAGACCAGATAGCTTTTCTCTTTTCGTGTTCCACATTATCAGATAAATTTGTAAAATGAAAGACTTTCTCCTTTGTCCTTGAAAAACACCATGTAACTTCACAAACCAATGATCTTTTCTCTACATTAAAAAGTATTAGATGTTACTACAATTACCTGATCGTGCCAAAGCTATTCCATAGTACACAAACATGGAGGAACATGGATAAATATGTGGCATGTTTTTTTTGGAGCCAAGTATGCTTATTTAAAAAAAAACAAACAACAAACCAACCAACCAAGAAAAAAAACCACAACAAAAACTCCTACATCTTTCCTGAGATGGTAAATGTCACAATTTCATAAAATTTACCAGTGAATTCTACTCACCTTCATTACATAAGGGATAAATATCTGAGAGTAGCCAACTAGACTTCACCATAATGTAAGTGGGATTGAAAATATTGTGCAGTGAATTTTTGGTCTGTGTTTCCATTTCCTCTTAGGTGTGTGCTCACATTACAAAGAGTGAGCATAGAAACTGTTTTCTACTGGCAAGTTTCCTTATCATGTGAAGAGAGCAGCCAATATTTAACTACCTGTTGGCTCATACCTGCCTCTACTTTGAAGCTGGTGTGCACAAAGAAAGAAAAAATTCAAGTAGTTTGTAATAGAATGCTTGTCATACTCTACTTGTTTAGTATCTGCATCAGAGTAAAACTAAGTATAATGCATGATTTGTACATACATGGACAATTTATTTGCATGCATCATGAACAAATAATATATTCATATGTAGATGCAAACTTTTAGAGACTATGTGAATATTCTCTCTCTAACTCTTAATTCGTTATTGATTTATTTCTGAGAGATAACAGAAAATAAATTCTCAAAGCCTCTCAGCACATCTGAAAACTAATGTTCAAATCTCTGTATATGGATTGAACTCCTCTTGATATCTAATGATGCTGCATATGCAAGAACAGCAGATTGAACTCCCAGTGATGTTAGTGGGAATTCAGGGGATACAGAGAAGGCAGCAGAGAACTGGAGATGGGCTCAGCTGAGTAAGATCTAAGAGTGGATTTTTGCTCTTTGTAGCCTTTCTTTTGCTAGGTATAATTATGTGATGTAGGAGGCTGCATAAGCTGTGTCGTGATTTTTTTTTTTTTTTTAAAAAAAGCAAGGCAGCTGTAAAAATCTCTACTTATTAGCTGTTCTGAAGAACTAAAAATGCAACACCTTCCTTTGATCTCTAACTAAAATGTGCTGATCTCAGTCATGATCACAACATGATGCTTTTTTTTCAGTATTTTCAATATGTGAAAGTGTATTTGTTTTCCAGTTAGAGCAGGGTATTTTGACCTGTCTTTATGGAAGTGTCCGCTTAATATTTTCTGATACTCATTAATGAAAATCAGAGGCAGACTGGCTTATTTTGTGCATAATTAGTTATCTTTGGAAGAAGATTTATGAAAGTAATTTTTCTTAATTGATTCAAACATGCATATATTAGACAGTTAAAATTATCCACAGTACATCGTCACATCAAGGGCAGAGATAAGAGCTAAGTAAAAATCGGGGACAGGTGAGTATACAGACATTTGCTATCCAGACACATGTATAAGAAACAGATTGCCTTGTTATAAGACACAGTTCCTTTTTTATTTCATTTATCTTAAATGTAGTTTCAAAAAAAATAAAGTATTGTAGCTCAGTGAATTAAAGGCTATCACTATTTTTAGGCCCAAAAATGCAAGGCATTCTTCTTAATTTGAAATCTTTATGTAGTAAATTGATAGGTTTATGATTTTACTTGCCTAGAAGAATTTCAGTATGATAGGATGTGGAAAGGTTCTGTTGTTTCTTTGCTTGACAGCAAATTTATGTTAAGAAAAATGGAGAATTTTCATTTAACATCTTATAACAAGGATCTGCAAATCCAAATGTGTAAGTGCACATATATGAGGAGAAACTCATAGCAGTGGCTAATGTGTAGATAATTATTTGAACATGGATTACATTTGCTGGAGGTATGCTTCTTGCTTTTTTTTCCAATAGCTGTACTCAAGATAGTGCTCCTCCTAAGAGCTAGAATCACAAATAGGTAAATCTGACTAATGTTTGTTGAAGTATCCATGTACTTATATGCATGACTTGGTTTTAATATGTCACAATTGCAAATGTTCCCACCAATACTGAAATGATTATTCTTACTATCTAATATTCCAAATAACTTCTATGTTTGGGAACATAGTGTAATCAAAGTCTTTTCTTGAAAAAAAAAAAAAGGAAAAAAAGGAGACCAAAAAAGCACATACTGTGCTTTTGTCTATGTAGGTAAGAAACATCACTAATGCAGAGGACTGTTTCACTGTATTTGAACTTGAAGTGCCTTTGTTGAGTGGTACACGTCACATTTAGTGGTTGGTTGTTTTTTTATTTCCAGGGTCTTTTATAGTCCTTCACAAACATAGTATAATAAGCCACTAGTAGCTACTTTGGAACAATGCAATATTGTGACTTAGTTCTTTTCCCATAAAATATTATATTTCTTCTTTATAAGGGTGTACTTGATCATACAAAAATCACTAAAGCCCAGACTTTAAACGAAGTGTTGCATTTTTCTTTAAAAATGTGTCTGCGGTCCCATTTGCCCTAACTTGTTATTTATAAAATTATACAAGGATGCTTTACCAGCGATATTGTAAAGATAAATGCATTGAGGATTAGGGAAGGACTTAGTAATGTTATTAAGAGACTGAAATGTCCCAAAGATGAACCAAGACACATCTGTATTATCATGCTCATGACTTCACATACTGATGATAAAAATATTATTTCGGATTTAAGATAGTAGGTAAAGCATCAGCCACTCAACTATGGTAATGACTGTGATGAAAAACACCTGTCTGGTATTTAACAAAAATCAGCTTATTGTGAGTGCACTGCAGAAATTATTTGAGAACAGCTTATCCTGCAGGTCAGAGTAGGTATGTCAGACTACATAGTGCAGACTGCTCAAGTTCAAGCTGCCTGAGGTAAGGTCAGATTTAATTTACAGCATGTAGATATATGTTTTTTAATACATACAGCATACAAGAAGAAAAGAAGTAAAAAACCATTTTTTTCTAATGGGAATAATTTATAGAAAGAAGGGTGTTTCTTCAAAATTAGCGATGTAGCAGTATGAAAAAAATGTTGAAGAGCCTTTGATTTCTGGTACTGATTATTAATCGCAAGCAGAGCAGATTATTTTTGTAAATTAATGATAACATGGAAAATTTGAAAAACAGAAGTGATTTTTACATTTCAACCAATCAAGAAACACCACTGTCATTTTCAAATATATTAACCTTCTCTTTCCAATCCCTCCACCAAAATGACTGAAAGTAAGGTTCTGTGTTTTTTGGGTTTGGTTTTTTTTCTTAAAAAACAATTGAATATCCTCAGCTGTTGTTTAAGAGCTAAGGTGGCACAGCTGAAATCACTCTGTTAGTGGAAGCCAGCTGATTAAATTCACAGCAATGGAAAGAAATATTGCCATGTGGTAAAGGGGTGAACACTTTGCTATAACAGGGTTAAAGAATGACTTTTTCCAATGTCTAGTGTAACAAAATACTGGGTTTTTCTGCTAAGCAGATACATGATACAGAGAATAGTCCTAATTTACAGAGAAATTTGTATGTCTCTTTTAGTACAGTTTTTACCATCTATTCTGTTTGTGCTTTGGTGGACACCTAGTAAATGTTCTGTGAAAATGTACTTACTGACTGAAACATTTTCCCTGGAAGTACATATGTGGAGGATATGCTCAAGAAATAAAGGTTCAATAGGAAAAGAATGTTTACTTCTCTAACTCTGCTATACTGAGATAATGTGCCCAACTCCTTATTTTTAACTGAAAATAATGCCAACATATTTTAAAGGTTCTTTCATTTTTAGAATTGTTTAAACTTATTAAAAATAGCTTCTACATGAACAGATTTTTTAAAAAGTAAATCTATAGTGTGCTATTGAAATCTGTATGAAGTAATTCCTAGCATGCTATATATTACTTAAGTATAGTGGTGGTTTTCCTGCCTGAAACAATTGAAGGAAATCTCGATAATAAATCATTCTCACTGCTATTTTAAAATGCAAAGCTTCACTCAGGAATTCTTGCCATGTGTTATTTACAAAGAAAGTGAGAGGTGCCTACTGTGAACCAAGTAGAAAGAAATCCAAGTCATTTTGTGCAATTTAGAAAATATAGTTGTATATTGCATATGCTTGCTGCATATGCTTGCTGAAGCAAGTCTAGTGACGTGTAATAATTTATTTTTCTACGCTACTAAGCATTAGGAATGAAAAAAATTTAAATTAGGCTTTCTTTTGTAGATTTAACTATCTTGTACATATTTTTAAAACCGGACTGTCACTTCTCAAATTGTTCACTGAATTAGTTTAATTGTTTATTTAGGTAACATCATGGTACAAGAAAAACATCAGAGATTACTTTCACAAGCAAAACTTGGGCTCATCTTTATTGGAAAATGAAGAGTTACTTCAAGAACTTGAAGAAATGGAAGTCAAAGTGAAAGTAAGAAATACGATAATTGGTGAAGCAACTTCAAAAATTAGTAGCAAAATATGAACTCAGGCATTTAATAAACACATATAGGAGGAGATACTTGGTATGTGTATGTAAGATACATATTCTTATGTATCTGACTGAGAATTTTTTTACCTTGTTTTAATGCAGGCCTCCATGTTTCTTAGTGTTTTTCTCATTTAAAACTTTAAAAGCTATTGATAATATGAAAAATGTTGTTCAGTTTTTTTTCAATTAGGTGATCAAGTTGCAGACTGGTAGTTTATAAAGTAAGCAGTATTGCAAAAAATGCAAACAGTTTTATTAGACTATTACCAAAGCTTAATGTTCATAAAGGATAAAAAGCCAGCCACTTGTACCATAATGCATTGTCACTGAACTCTGTACATAATTGGTAGATGTATCTGCCCGTTGATTTATTGGAAATGAAAGTAAGTAAAAATACTATTTTCATTGTGAATATTGGTTTTCCAGAGAATAAATCTGTCGGGATCATTCATAAAAGCAAGATGGGATTAAAGAAAATGTTGATATGTGTATATATAAGAGATATTTTTATTATGTATATTGCATATATTTATAATCTTTTTTTAGGTACCTCAATTGTGCTATCATCCGGTAAGTGCTGTTGCTGGGTCAGGATTATTCCTCACTCTACCATTTTCAAGTAATAGTATTTGGATAGCCCAGATGACCAGGCAGGCCTTTTTCATCCCAAAACTGTTCCAGTACAAACAAGTCTTTTTAAAGGCTGCTGTGTTGATAGTGACTACCAGGTTTATGATTGTTCATGGTTATGTTTCCTTGTAAGCTTTGTAGTTACATCTCATGTGTTTGCCTATTTGCACAGTTCGCAGTTAACTGTTTCTGGGTTGTCGTATAAACAGAATACAACAATATTTCTGATGCTTTTCCAAGCAGCATGTCAGAAAACACATTCTCTTCATTTAGGGAACGTGAGCTTAAGAGATTAAATTCTGCTTCAAAGCAGTAACAGACCTGGCACAAGGAAAGCAGAAGATAAATAGTAAATAAGTTAAGCTGTGGGATATTTTGAGAGAAATAGGGACCCACAGAAATGTTTGAGGTGTCATGAAGTGTTGCTGAAAAATACATATATTTACACTTAATTGGCTTGTGGTTTAAATGCTGCTTTATCTACTATATGGATCATGATCTGAAGTCAAATTGATGTGTTTCAAGGTTTTCTCAGCTTAACCCTAGAATAATCCACTGAAGACACTTTTATGCAACTTCTCAGGTTTTAACCCAATGGCAGAATTTAGAAGTAAGAAATGTCTATGATATAGACCAAAAAAGCTCATTTAAACCATAATAGTTGTTTAACAACATGAGAAAGTTGTAGGTATTACACTTTTTTTTTTTTTCAGGCTCGTGGTAGATATTTTTGAAAGCAGAAGAAGTTAAAAACTTTTACTATAAAGCCACAATCATTTTACTTCATCAATTCTAACACTCGTGAAAAATGTCTGATTAATCAAGGAATCTAGAAAGAGCTTGCCAAATGGAACAGTGGAAGAAAGTATTTGAGCAAGTGTTTAAAAGCCATAATACTGTTAGGAAAACTAAGAGCAGTGATGTGAGCTAAGGAGACACATTGAGTATAAGGACATAGAATACAACATGTCTTTCATAGGTCAGAGGAATTCACAATAATTTCTTGACAAATTTAAGATTTAAGGTAATAGCAGAATTTGTTCCTTTCAGAAAAATCAAGTAATAAATATTTTAGCCCTGACTGACAGATTTTTTACAAATGTAACATGTAGAAGCCAGGAGGACAGAAAAAAACTGACAAAGATTTTTCTACTCAGTTTGTGTGCCCTGTTGATGGAAAATATAGGGGTTTTTTTTAATTTATAGGAACATTTCCTTGTAAATACAAAGTTGAAAATAAAATTGTAGCTAGCTGTTTTGTAGAAAATTAACAAATTTTGAGTAATGATCAAATAAGATAGCAGATGAGTCTAAATTTATTAACCTCAGAGAATGTGCAAGGCTGTAATGTTCCTAGAATATTGTAAGCTATAAATTAGTATATTAAATTGGGCATGTGTGAATGTTTAGATAAGAAGCATACCTCAGTATATATGAGGCAGAGTTTAACCTGTGCTTCAAGATCACCTAAAAGCTGGTACTGGACACCCTGTGCCAAACAGATTTATGAGTGTTACAGTGAAATCCTCTTAAAGGAATAATTTTGCTACATGTTGAGTAGTTTTCTTATAATTAATCTTGCCTGCTGTAATTATATGTTGCGTTACACCAGAACAATTCAGAACTTTATTCAGTTTTTCTGTCTGCTTCTAAGCTAGCTATAGACAATTTCCTTTCCAGTTTCATTAAAATACTTTTTTTTCATTCTTGCATAAAATACTATTTTTAATTATTACTCAAATAGTGTATAATTACTTAAGTGAGGATCCACATATTACTTATGTGAGGATCCACATATTTAGCTGCACTTTCTTTGCTTTTCTTCTTTTGTTATTACTAGCTCCCAACAGCAGTGTAATTTTCTTATTCACACTGACATCTGTGTGTTTAAGTGTAAGTGAAATTTTGATTAGAATCTGATCCTGGAATGCATTTGGTACCAGTCATGCCAGCTGCATGTATTGGAAGATGATGGACATTGTGATGCTGATAGAACTGGATGTCAGAAGTCCACACCTTATTCATAAATAGGCCAGTTAAGCTGTGTGTATGAAGAGAACTCTTTATTGTTTTTTTATCAAATAAATTCTTCAGGTAAAAAGGAACAAATACAGCACAGACGGTAATTATCCTCAAAATCCTCATTCTTGTTGAATATTACTTAGAGCAGAGACACAAAGACGGGACTTTATGAAAGCAGAATTGTGTATTAAGTAATACAGTGCAGGATTTCACTTAATTAAAAGTACAAGCTGAAGATTATTGCATTCAGATCTCAGAAATTGTAATTATTTTAGTTTGAAAAAAAAACCACAAAAAAACAAAGAAATCCAGAAAGATTTTGCTATTGGTGTTTATCAGTATTAGACACAATGAAAAAAAACAGAAAAAATCCCCCACTTTTATTGTGCCCTAGATTAATCTCTTTCTATTTCATTAGGGAGTTGAAATTGTCCAGTTCAAGTCCTCAAGGAATACATATATGGGGGTTTGTTTGTTTCCTTGGGAACTGGTGCAGTTTCATTACAGGACATTCCAAAACAACAGTATTTTTTATAAGCATATAAGGCATTACAATTCAAGTACTTGTTTTTGGAAGACCTGAACTTGAAAAATCTGAGAAAGCTTTTCATAAGTGTTCCCTTATGGAAGGAGAGAAGGGTTTAATATGAGTGAGGCATACAGTGCAGATATGTTGAAGTATAACCAGAACTTAGTTCTCGATGGAATTCTGGAATTCTGACACATTTCTTTTTCAAAATGAAACAAAGCTAAATTGGTTGAAATACATGGAGTCAGTTTTCTTGTCAAGCCACTTAAAATCTGTTTATAATGTTTTAATACTATAGAATAGTTTATGCTGGCTTTTTAAAAATTTGGTAATACCATAACTAAAGTTAAAAACAAAAGTTGATTTAAGATGAGAAAGCTAAATAAGGCATTAATGCAGATCTGTAGATTCTTAACAGTTGCTTAGGTCTTCCGTGGCGGTCCTCTTATATTTTATTAATGTCACAGTTTGACTGTTCAAACCAGGACAATTAGCATGAAGTCTTTTTTACATATTTCTCCTCAAAAATCTTACTTACTACCTAAATGAGCTGTAATATCCTTTTAAATTGTTTTTAATTCAATGAAAATTTGATTGTTAAAAATCTTGTCTTGAGTCTCAGTAATCATACAAAATATGTAACCTTTTTCCCCCTCAACTTTGCTAAAATATTTTTTTATAATCTGCAGCAGTTAGTACCACAGACTAATTCACACAGAAAGATTCATTACTTAATACTCCCTGGTAGTTGTTTTTTGGGAGAGAATATTTTTATATAACCAATGATTCTGAGACTATTACTTTTCTATGTATTGACATCACACTAGGCACCACAATTCCTATTTTCATGGGCTTGTTCATATTTTAAAATTCTTTTTGTTATCCATGTCAATACCCTCATACCTGTACAGGCATGGTTTTGAATGCCAGTGTTTTCCATTTTGAGGTGACCTGTGAGTAATAAGAGAACTTTCTTGAATTATTCAAGTTAATCCAGAATGCAGCAAGGAAATTAGTCCTTTCTGATAGAATTGCCATATACCATTTAAGCTTGGCCATGTTGAACAACGAGTGTATTGGGAATTTTAGGGTGTGTCTCACTTGCAGGTTGTTGGTCCAGATCTAGTTCATACCAATAGGGAGAGAGAGGTAACTGTATCTGGTGGAGAAGTCTATATAAAATAAATTGCTAATCTTTTTGAACAAGTGTTTAACCATACCAGTTGTCACAATGGACAATGTCAGAAGAGGAATGTACTGAACTACACAGACCTGAATAGGTCTGCTCCTGCTTCCTGTACTTCAAAGAAGGATAAAGTTTTTCCCAGCAGACATAGTAGCAGCTGCTACTTCTAGTACTGCCTCCTATATCAAGGAACACAGAGTGCCACCATTGAAAACTCTTGCTAAAACCATCATTTGCTAGGAAATCCCTCTTAGTAGAAATCCTGCTTTAAATGGTGATAATCTTCTGTTCTATAAATGTGATATGTTTTTTCCAGTATTTATATTATAATTGGGCAGGCATATTACTTTTCTATGTGCAATAGTTGAAAATGGGATTTCTCCTGTTAGGAATGGAATTCCACTGTGGAACAACTAGAAGCTGAAGCACTTAAGATCCTGTTTGCAGAGGACTATACAGAAAAAGAACATCTGAAGTTTTCAAATCAGAAAATGTGTCTGTTGAGAGAAGAGGTGTGCTTCCATATGGAAGAAAGGAAAGCCCTGCTACAGGAGGCCAATGACTTTTTTCGTACTGCTGGCAAGGTTGGTAAGAGATCAAGTCTAATTATAATGTGATAATACAACCGTGCTCTCGAAGTCTTATGAGGGATTGTGCAAACAGTTTGCTAAACAATTTGGAATGGAAAACTGCAAATCTGGTTACCCTTTAATATGACATTTTGCCTCAAACTTCTTCCAAAATGGCAAGTGCATTTATATGTATATATATATATATATTAAGAATAATAATTTTACATGCTCATATTTATTTGAACTTTTGTTGAATTTCACCTATGTTCTTCTGTAAAGTCAATATCACATTTGAAGAAATGTCAACTATTAACCATCCATTGGTCATCTATATATCTAAAAGAATACATATGCAATATTGACAACAGGTGCGCTTTTTTTTGCAGGTACTTGAAGGTCTTGAAGGTGTTGAGAATTACCTTAAAATCTTTAATTCAGAAGGCTTACATTTACCTATCTTGACAATTAAGTATGAGGAATTACATCAAACAATTAAAGATTGCACAGCAAGTACTTTGCAAAAGGGACAAACTTTAGTTAACAAAGCAGGTTCTCACAGGTATTCCCTCCATTTTAGCATATCTGCTGCATTTCTTAATGTCTGCCTGTTGCTTTATAGCTAGACTAGAATCAGACTGCATTTAGAGCCTGTGTAGTTAACTAAGAATGTGTGCATTTAAATTACCAAAATTATCTCAATTATATCCCATTTTGAAGGGGACTGCCTCAATATTCAGATTTTTAATTACTTTCCTGATATTAAATGTCCAAAGTTATAAGAGAAGCCAGTACTTTGTAAATTGACATTGTCTTTTCTCCTGTTATAACAGCATCTTTAAATAAGTGTTGACTTAGAAGGTTTAGGACATTCTTTTTTAAGCTAAACACTGAAATATTTTAAAGTCTAAAGAAAACATTATTTTTGAAGTAGAAGTGATATGCCACGTATCTTTACTCTTTTAAGGCTGTTTCACTTGTGGTTTTAGTCTTTAGATAGTGTAACTAAAGTCAGAATTACTTGTGAAATTAGGTATTTCTCAGTGAATCAGGTTATCTGGCATGTGAGGCTAACTTCAGCACTGGTGATAATTTGTCTTGAAATGTCATTCGTGTGTTTTACTCATAATTTTTTAATTCATTTTACTATTTGTCTTGGTTATTTTTCTTTTAAGGGTTATAGTTTAAAATTCCTAAGTTACTTGTCACACAAATAAATTGAGATTGTGTTTTTTTAAAAATCATTATCATCTTGATTGTTGAGCAAAAATGAGAATTAACAACAGTTCTACTTTTCTGTTTTAGCTCTTGGGTGACAGAAATTCAGAAAATGATGGAATATGTTAAAAAAAATGTAGATAAATTCATCAGACAGTGTCCAGATTACAAAGAATTTACTTTAAAGAAACAACAATGGACTTTGTCACTTGAAGATCATCTAAATAAGGTACATCATAACATGTCATCTTCTTAATTCATTTACAAACAGTGCATTGGTTTTCCATAGTTTAGGTGTGTGAATATTAAAGGTTACTCAAATGATTACGAAAAATATCTTGGTTTGTTAGAGTGCGCAGTTCTAGTTAGAATGCTGAATGCTGTTATGAGCACAAGTGAACTTAGAGCTGTTCTGAAAAATGCAGCTGTTTCTATGAAAACATTTTACCAGTATTCTTCAATAAAACATGGGTTTAATTTCTTTTTTTAGAAAAGAAGTGAGCAGTCAGGACTGTGACCTGCATGCAAGTTTCCTATACTGTTTATGTCACATTTGGCTGAAGACAAGAATTGTGGCAAATTGAGAGTTAATAAGTAAAAAACCAAACCAACCACAACACAGCATAATAGAAGTATTTGTGCCAAGTTTGTAATACCTAGATTATAATGCAGTTGTGCCTTATTGAAGTTACAAGCCTAGGATACTTAAGAAAAAGGAAAGCACTATTAACAAAATTAAAGCAAATAGAGGTTTTGTTTTTCTCAAATTCTGACTATAACTGTTGTGAGTTTCTTAGAAGAAACAGTAGAAATTTCTTCCCTTATATTTTCATTCCTGAGTGTCTCTGATTATACGAAGTACATAAGCTAAGCATTATCAGAACAGCATTACTTCTGTTTTTTCTATACAAAGTGATGTTTTACACTGGTTTTTATATTAGTGGTTTAAATTAATGATATCAATAATGCTCTTAAAGGTGTCGCAGTCAATTAAAAAAATCACCCAAATGCTTGCAGTTGGTATGGAAATTGGTTCCTATTTGTCTGAGTCAGAAAGAGTTTTAAACAAACACCTTGAACTGGCCAAACAAACAAAGGTAAGAAAAAGAAGCTTTAATAAAATGTTAAGTACTTCTAGAAACAAAATGCATTCTGTATGTAAATCAATAAGGGCAGAGGCTGAGAGTTTCTTATGTATTCTTGGAAAGAAAATAGGTCTGTTGTTTAGTTTAAGACTAATAACAAACAAAACCACAGGTAATGTTAAGAGTCCATCCTTATTTCATTGTTTATCCACATTGTTTCTATCTCATCATATTATTTATTACTACCTCAAGGTCCTCATATCAACCCTAGATTGGAACACTGAGGCAGCAAGTTTAAAAATTGTCTATACAGTCAGAGGCATGGATAACCCTTCTTATGGTTTATTATGCTAAATAAAAGGGATGAATCAGCAAAAAAGAAAAAAGTTCTTCCCAGGTGGAGAACTTCAAAGAGGGTTGTAAAGTTGCCATCAGGGAATGCAACCATGATATGAAACTGATGCAGCACGCAGCTCTGTAACACAGTTAGGCTGTTTTTAAGTCATGTCCAGCGCCTTTCCTACTTATGTAGCAATATTGCAGTACCTGATAGTGGCTTAAAACCACTTGAATACCCTCTGTGGTCTTGACACAGGTGCATATTTCATGGCTAAGCTGAACAATGTAGCAGTATGTATTTTAGGAGTTCTTAAAACTCCATTACTCCTTTTTTTAAAAATTTGTTTAAAGAAATAATTTATGGAACCCAAGAGCTGGATCTGTCTGTGGAAATAAAATTAACTTTAAAGTAATCCTGGAGACCACATGGAATATAAAAATTAGGTCTATGCTATTTATTAAGGAGAGAATATCAGTTCTGGCTATCAATGTTCCCATATGGAACACTTCTTTTGTTTTCAAGTGAAGTAATTTACTTAATCTGAACAGTGAGATTCCTACTTTTTTTTGTTTCCATTCAAAACAGATATTTTAATAACTACATCCATTGTTTTTAGTGTCAAAATATCAAAGGAAAGAAATCGGTATTTTCAGGATATGGTGTCTGTTCTGAGTTCTCCTTCAGCTAAGAAATTGACATATGAAGGCAATACTACTGAAAAGTAACAATGTGATATCAATATTGACAAGTCCTTTTCAGTAACTGTGTATATTGATTGTTCTGTGCTTTCATTCTCAAAGGAAACTTCACATGAACTGGAAGCAGCTGAGAGAATCATCAACAATATGGAAGAATTTGTACCTGAGCAGGTGGTAGCTTTTTCCAGCAGAATTGACCTTCTGAATGAAGAACTGAAAACAATTGAAAAAATTACTAATTCAAAACTAGAAATTCTAGAAACTTATGTGGCTTTTTTAAAGTCATCTGTGGAGGTACAGGTTACTTGATTACTCTCTGACTAGACTGTGAAAATCCTACAAGTGAAAAATGTGCTTTTAGCTAGCTACATCCTCTAGATGCTGTGCCGTGGAAACACTGCAAGTCTTTGTAAGCTCCTTTCTACTTTAAAGGAGATCTGTTTTATCAGGGCAAGGAGCCCTGATCATTGAACTTGCATCAACATAATGACTAGTACATGTACAGATTTTCTACTGGTTTAAAACACCATTGTAGGAAATATAAATTAATTTTTACTTTCTCCTTTTTACATGCACTTTCTTATTGTATACATACTAAAAAGGTTTGTTTGTGTACTCTGACTCTTAAATTTTGATTTTGCTTTAATAATTTCTAAAATGTTTCACATATTTTATCATAGGTATTTATTGCTGACTTGCTTTATTTCCACTGAAGTGCTGAAGGGGTTTAAAATGAAATATAAACCAAGCCTAGCTGAAATAATAATCAATTCAATACCAACATATTTTTATTAGCTGCACTAATGATGCCCAGGGAAGTTATTTCCCATTTTTATGTAATGCTTGTTTTAAGATTCTACACACAGTTGTTCTTTTTACATTTAGAAAGAAATGTGGATGGCATGGAACCTATCAGATAAAATTAGCCATAGGATTTATTTATTTGAAGATAAACTGCCAAAAATTTGTGTTGTCTCTATTTCCAATTATTGCTAACTTCAGTTACTTCATATTAGACATATCTGTGGAAATCATTGCATTGATATATTGTAGTATCTGTGTAATGATATGTGACAGAAATTGAACAAATTTCTGCTACCTGTCTGCCATCTACTGGTTTACAGATTTTTAAAAACTTTTTAATTATATAGTGTTTGTATAGATTTTAGGGAAGATGATAGATCTTAAAAACTGGAGAAGATTCAAACTGCTATTCAATTTTATCATGTTTGTATACCTTCTATTTGTAGCAGTTCAGTTTTTCTTTTTTTATGTCTCTGTAGGTGAATGATGACATTCAAAATCTGAAGGAGTTCTATAATTCAAAACCAGTGCAAATAAACAGGGAGGCTGAAAATAAAATTGCAATGGAGTCAGCTAATATGCAGTGGCAAGAGGCTATAAAGAAGATTTTTTCCACCCAAAACATGGGTTGCAGTTTTCTTAATTTAGTAAATGTGGTGAGCATAATCTGATAAACTTTACTGAACATTTGATGGTTGCCTGTGATGAAGTCTAATCCTAGTTCTGTGGTTGATGGTTTGTAATTTTTTGGGTACCTAGTTTTAAAGGGGCTAATGCTACTATATACTTTTAAAACAGGAAAGTACTATTTGTGTGCTCATATCATTATCAGTAAGACTTTTTTTTTGTGATTAACAATGATAGAGACCTTCATAAATGATCCAGTACATATGTACAAGTATATTATATGCACATATATGTTTTGTTCATGTTGGAAAGCAGCATATGTATTAATTTGCTTCCACTAAAAGGCAGTCTTCACTAATTAAGTATATTAAGTTCTTCTAAAGAAATAGGTGCTAGACCTACTTCGTTGCATAAAAACTAGCCTGGTGTCTACATTCTGCCTTGGGTTCAGCTGCATGCACCTAGGCATCCTTATCTAATTTTCCAGCACCCCTTCATGAGATAATAGTTTGAGATGTGCAATCAAGTAATTCTCTAAGCCACTCCTTCTAAACTGATCCCAATTAAAGCAGACAGCCTGGATACCCACCTCTTCTTTCTGTTTTTATAGGACAGGCTGGGGAGCAGTTACATTATGGTGTGAAGGGGGAGCTGGTGTTGGTAACACAGCACAGCATGCAAGATGAGGTGGAAAAACCTAGTTAAGGAGAGAAAATGCTCAGGCAGTTAGTGTGAGCTAAAGTGTGTATTGTCACAGCTGGATGCAGTCCAGTATAGATGAAACAGTGTAAACAGAAGCTGAATATGTATGAGCATGGGATTGCACTGCAGTCAAAGTCTAAACTTGTCTTCGGATGTTGTCTCTCTAAAGATGTGGAAGTGTGTTGCCACCATATTTTTTGCTTCTCTGTTCTTTTATTCTTAGGTTGTAGCTTTTAAGTACCTCGATGATTCAGATCATACAAGTAATTTATAAACACAGCTTCTCTTAGAAGAAAAATTCTGAAATGAGGGAAGCAGAAGCAGCATTACCCAGTTTTGTGGTGTTTCTGATACGGGCTCTGTTAAAAAGAGGAAAAAAATGTTTTCAAATGTTAAACACTTTATCCCTCCCATGCTTCAATGCTTCTTCAGTTAGAATACAAAGGAGTGGTCTTTTCTTCATCTGCTTTACTTTCTGGTTGTTATTTCCAGAAGGCCATTTTGGGTAGTTTTGTCTGTTCAGAAATTGCCTTATTGTGTATGAGCATTGAGCAGCTATCAGATAGCAGTAAGTCAGTCATTATGGGCTTGTTCTACGTTTTAAACTTTATTGTTAGCCATGTCTTCAGTATGCAAATTCTGTTGTTCTGTGCCTCTTTTGAAGAGAACAGTGTATTTAAAGACACCTAGAGTACCAGAAATTTTCAAAGAAGTCATGCTAGAATAGATGTTTTTAATTAGGTTTTGTTGAGACTTTATTATGATGTTTTAATTGTATTTCTAAAAAATATGTTGGAAAAAAGCATATCTGTTTATTTGCCAGGTAAATGAGAGTTTAATATTGAAAGTAGAAAAATCTGTACAAGTAACAGAAGATATCATTGTCAATCTGAGTAAAGAAAAGAAAGAGCTGACTGATCTTTGGGCAATCTGCAATTTTAAAATTACTCAAGTAAAACCTGTCCATCAACAGCACCAAATATTTAAAGAGCAACTAAAAATGGTAAGAAAAATAGTAAGAAGGCAATTGTGTCAAATATTTCCAGATTCTTATTTGGTTCCTATTATTTAAGCAAGAGAGATGATCGGGAAGATACTTGTCCATAATCTAGTCTGCCATTCAGATAGTTATCAAGAAACATGAAAGCTTTTAATCTTTTTTGTACTTATTGAAATGCTTAAAAGTCAAAGTTCCCACTTCAAGTTTTAAGTATTAATCAAGACAATATACGATAATCATAAAACATAAATTAGTCAACTTCAGAATATAATTTTTAAATTTTTAAATTTTTTTTTTATTTACTAGTAATCTTAATGAAGTTTACTAACAGTATTTGAGTATCTTGTTTAGGGAGGGTTCTGGTTATGACTTGCGATTTGAGTGTAAATTTATTTTTTTTAAAACTTACTACAGATAAAACACTGAACTCTTTGATTATCTTTTAGACTACCCATGGATTCGAAATTCTTCAAGAGGCACTTCAGCTTGCAGCAACAGTTGACCTTGGAAGCGACCTTTTTATTGTTTTGGAACTACAAAAAAAGCTTAACCAAATGAAACCAGAGTATCAGGTAAGAAATCAAGCTAGTTAAGTGCACAGTGGATCAAAAGCTCTTTTTCGTACAGTAAAAATTCAAATTCACATTGACAGTGTTTTGTATTTTACATTACTTTTCTAGAAAGAAGGGTTTGTATGTGTTTATAAGGTAAAGGAGAAGATATTTTTTCCTTCAGTGTTTGGAAGAATATCTTGTGTTATCTGTGTATTAAGGTAACACAAACATTGGGGTGGTGGAAGTACAAGGAGAGCATCATACTTTTAAATTAGAGCTGGTCAGAGGCTGAGGAATGTCATACTGAGCATCCTGCCTCTTCTGAGTACTGTCTCTGAGTTTTGACAATCCAGTTGACCGTTTACCTGTAAGTCAGTTTGATTTGTTTTGACCCAGGCTGCTTCTGGGTGATAGTTGAGATTTATACCTAGCAAAAAGTAAATTATGTGGAGAGTGTTTTAAAGCACGTGACATTGATTTTTCCCCAAGACAATTTACCATTGTTAGGTAGCCACTTAAGAAAATATAAGGGAAAAATTGCAAATACATTTGTGTAATTTGAATAACTTTTCCTTTTTTTGCTAGCAACTGAATGCTGAGCTTGAGTACCTGGTAAAATTATTAGAATTGCCGAGCCAGAAGGAATTTTGTGTAAAAGAGAATTCTGAGAGAATTAGTGAGCTTATTCTTCTCCATCAAACAGTAGAGGACACGATGACAGCGTATGATGAGATTTTTAACAAGACAGTCAAATTCCATCACATTAAAAAAGAAGTGAGTATAATCTTTCAAAAGATACCTTCTTCCTATTGCAGCTAAACTCATTTTGGTGCCTGTTGTCTTCCTTTTTTTTTTTCCCCCTGAAAAACAACATTAACCTACCTGGTGAACAAAATCAAAATTTTGGATCTTAAACTGCATGAGATTTGGAGAATTTGACATTCAGACCTCAAGACAAATTAAATTACCTGAAACCATGTTAAAAAAGGGTAACACCTTATGGATCAGAAAGGATTGTAAGCTTCTTTTCACATTATTTTAAACAAACACCGATTTTCATTTTAATATATTCCAGCTGGAATGTCTATCAAAATCACAGGAACTGGATATTCCCAAAATATGTGAGGACCCTGAAAGTGTGCACCGTGTTAAAGCCTACCTTGCGAATGCTCAGGAGAAACATGCACATATCAGACAGCTGTATAAACTTCTTATTACCCAGGGAGTGGATATCTTGTCTGCAGTGCAGCAAATTGTGAGTAGATTTAGAATAATAAGTGATATGAAGGATGACTATGAAAGATGATTGGAGCTCGCTGACTGACTTCAGATATATGAAATATATTAATACTCTGAAAAAAAGAAATACAGAGCTTTAAGATTCTTTTAAAAGAAAGCAAAACATAAACCGTAAAACAGTTGATTGTGTTTAGATTTCTGCTGTTAAGAGTTTGCAGATATACAGCCATCAAAATAAATGAAACATGCAGGAATGGTGAGACTTATTCTTCAGTAGTCACTCCCACTATGAATTGCTTTTGCCAAGAGAATAGAAAAAAAAAAAATTGAATTTTTTTTTTTTAAATTTTAATGGTCTGTGAACAGCTCTGGACAAGACTGACATAGATTTG